CACCATTTTCTTGTTTTTTAAATGTACAGATAGCCAGGGGCACACTCCAACATTTAGACATAATTTACAAACGAAGCATGTGTGTTTAATGAGTCCACCAGATCAGAGGCAGTAGGGATGACCAGGGATGTTCTGTTGATAAGTGCGTGAATTGGACCATTTTCCTGTGCTGCTATGCATTCAAGTACTTTTGGGTGTCAGGGAAAATGTATGTAGTAAAAAGTACAATATTTTCATTAGGAATATAGTGAAGTAAATTAAAAGTTGTCAAAAATATAAATAATAAATTAAAGTACAGATACCCCAAAAAAACTACTTAAGTAGTACTTTAAAGTATTTTGACTTAAGAACTTTACACCACTGGTTGCCATGCCACCCATATGGAAAAGAATCATGAAGATTATTTGTTAAAAAATCTAATAAGTAATCTAATAAGGGTCTGGTAAGATTTTCTATGTTTTTCCTTACATGTCAGTGGTGTATTTGTACAGTGCCTTCGGAAAGTATTCAGACCCCTTGACTTTTTCCCACATTTTGTTAGGTTACAGCCTTAATTTTTGCTCATTTATATACAAATAAAAAACTGAAATATTACATTTACATAAGTATTCAGACCCTTTACTGAAGCACCTTTGGCAGCGATTAAAGCCTTGAATCTTCTTGGGTATGATGCTACTAGCTTGGCACACCTGTATTTGGGGAGTTTCTCCCATTCTTCTCTGCAGAACCTCTCAAGATCTGTCAGGATGGATGGGGAGCGTTGCTGCACAGCTATTTTCAGGTCTCTCCAGAGATGTTTTTCCAGGTTTAAGTCCGGGCTCTGGCTGGGCCACTCAAGGACATTCAGAGACTTGTCCCAAAGCCACTCCTGCGTTGTCTTGGCTGTGTGCTTAAAGTTGTTGTCCTGTTGGAAGGTGAACCTTCACCCCAGTCTGAGGTTTTGAGAGCTCTGGAGCAGGTTTTTATCAAGGATCTCTCTGTACTTTGCTCCGTTCATCTTTGCCTCGATGCTGACTAGTCTCCCAGTCCTTGCCTCTGAAAAACATCCCACAGCATGATTCTACCACCACCATGCTTCACCGTAGGGATAGTGCCAGGTTTCCTCCAGACGTGACACTTGGCATTCAGGTCAAAGAGTTCAATCTTGGTTTCATCAGACCAGAGAATCTTGTTTCTCATGGTCTGAGAGTCTTTAGGTGCCTTTTGGCAAACTCGAAGCGGGCTGTCATATGCCTTTTACTGAGGAGTGGCCTCCGTCTGGCCACTCTACCATAAAGGCCTGATTGGTGGAGTGCTGCAGAGATGGTTGTCCTTCTGGAAGGTTCTCCCATCTCCACTGAGGAACTCTAGAGCTCTGTCAGAGTGACCATTGGGTTCTTGGTCACCTCCCTGACCAAGGCCCTTCTACCCCGATTGCTCACTTTGGCAGGGCGGCCAGCTCTAGGAAGAGTCTTGGTGGTTCCAAACCTCTTCCATTTAAGAATGATGGAGGCCACTGTGTTCTTGGGGACCTTCAATGCTGCAGACATGTTTTGGTACCCTTCCCCAGATCTGTGCCTCGACACAATCCTATGTGTGCCTTTCCAAATCATGTCCAATCAGTTGAATTTACCACAGGTGGACTCCAATCAAGTTGTAGAAACATCTCAAGGATGATGAATGGAAACAGGATGCACCTGAGCTCTATTTCGAGTCTCATAGCAAAGGGTCTGAATACCTTTTGTTTTTAATAAATTAGGAAACATTTCTAAAAACCTGTTTTCGCTTTGTCATTATGGGGTATTGTGTGTGGATTGCTGAGGATTATCTTTTATTTTAATCCATTTTAGAATAAGGCTGTAACGTAACAAAATGTGGAAAAAGTCAAGGGGTCTGAATACTTTCCGAAGGCACTGTATATGCGTTAACTTACATACCTTATGTGACATACACAATTGAATACATGATTGTGGTGAATTTTCTACAAAGATAAGGTATGACATATTTGAGACAACATTATATGTCATCTATGAATATTGAATGTTCTGAGAATGTAACCTCTACAAAATAAATGCTTTCCTTATACTGTAGGCTTCACAAGTCATGACAATTACTATAAGAGAAATACAATATTTGTATATATATTTTCAGGTATGAGTTTCCATGGTTAGGGCTGGGTAGCACCTCCTACTGGACAGCTGATCTATCTACAGCTATGCCTTTGGTCTCCCATCCAGCGGTTTTAACCAAACCCAGCCCTGCATAGTTTTGATATTTGTCACTGTCTACTACCAATGTGCTATCGTGAGAATGATTGTTGAGAGATCTCCACTTAATAACTAAATAGATTCATGCAGGCGAGAAAGGCATGCACCGCTCAAGAAGTAAGACGAACGAAGAAGCAAGCAGAAGCAGAAGAGAAAAGGGAAGAAGCACGAACATAGTACGCGAAGCCGAGAGCAGAGAGAGAATAGACGAGAAGCAAAGAAAGCCGACGGCAGCCAGAAAAGAGGCTAAGCGCCTCAAGAGATGTAACCTCTTCAGACTCTGCCGCGTACTTTCAAAAGTCCATCCTCCACAACCCTCTTCTCTCCTCCTCCGTCCTTCTATTCCTCTTCCATCATCTGTCTATCCCCCTCATCCCCCTACTCCTCTTCTCTCACTCCTCGTGTCCTCCTTCACTTCTCTTCCTCCTCCTCCTCTCATCCCCCTTCTGCTCTTCTTACTCTCCTGCTCTCCTCCTTTTCAACAAGTGTCACATTGCATGCGTCAATGACGTCAGACAGTGTTATACAAGCTTTGAAACGTATATGTCCCCTGTATGTGAGATCTTAGAAAGCTTACATGTCTCTTGTATGTTTTTTATATAATACATGCAACATTTCTGTTGTCTAAATGTTAACCGCCCATATAAGTCAGATATTACAAGAATATTCTATGAATCCTGTTTGTGTATTTGCTACCATATGTGTTACTGACAAGTTGTTAAATTATTCTATATCATTTCCATATGGGCACGTTGTGATGCAGCCAGTCAAGATGCTCTCAATGGTGCAGCTGTATAACTTTTTGAGGATCTGAGGGCCCATGCCAAATCTTTTCAGCCTCCTGAGGTGGAAGAGCTGAATAACTTTTACTGTTTCACATTCAAGCTTCAAGGTTAAGTTCAGCTTTTTTTTCTTCTTTCCTCTAAAAGGAATCTACCTTCAGTATGTATGTAGCCACAATAATGACAAACAGCCAGACCACCTCCGTAAATACTGCAAAAGACATCATGCAGTTTACTCATGCAGTAACTCGACGACGCCACCTTAAGGACTGCTTATGCACTTACATAAACATATGCAGGTGACTATGTATTGGACAAATCAAGAAAATAAGATGGTGTTGAGACTGAACTCCTCCCTTTAAGAGTCTCTCAGTAGGAAACTAGGCAGGGGAGTCTGTCCTTGGTTCCTGTTTTTCTGAGTGAATGAGTGAGTGAGCGAGCGAGTGAGTGAGTGCAGGACAGTATCCTGGTTTAGAGACCGCATGTGTGTGTGTGCGTGTGTGATCATGAAAAGAGTATGAGGTTTGTGGGTCTGGATTTTGACACTGAATTACATGTGTAGGGTTGGTAGGATTTAATGTATGGTGTCTGTCTGATTAACTGATAGACTTAAGGGTTTCCGCTTTACTCTGAATGGAATGGCTGTTCTCCTTTCCATGACACACACACAGCCCTCAGGTGTTTTCTTTGGTTCCACAGGAGAGGCACCAGCCCTAGTCAGGAAAAATCTCAGCCTCCATTTGAAAACACAGGGAAAACGCTCCCTCACACACACAAACTCTCTTTCCCTCACACATACGTACATCCTATCACATGTCAGGTATCCAGACTGGTGCTGTATATGGAAATTGAAGGTGGATGCTATCCATCTTAATTGTAATGCTCTTTCTCTGTCTTTAAATTGTCCTTATTGTCCCATCCCCCTATCCCCCCCCCCCACACACACACACCATTCTAAGAACTCTACCTCCCCCAACACTGTGTCTGGATCTGGGACAAGGTGGAACAGGGGATTGTACGTGTCTCCACGGTGATGGAGATTTCACAGAGCTTTCGCTGCTGAATATTCATAAGGCTTGGGGCTGGGGGGAGGAGCTGGCTGGGAGCGTGTCTGGAAAGCAGATTGGGTCGAGGGGGAAGGGGAAGGTTTAGGTAAAATACATCAGATTAAGGGGATCAAAAATGGTCTCTGAGGTGGTGTGTGTGTGTCTGGGATGCAGCACAAAGGAGTGAGGAAACCAAGAGAGTACCTCACCATCCTCACTAGAACTCCAATGAACAGATAATAAAGAGAGTGAAGCAATTGATTCTGAGTCCGTTTATTGTCAGTTACATCGACAATAATGAAAGGAAATCACATATAAACTAATTTACAAACCGTTTTTAAACATAAGTACTCATTACAGACTCATTAAAAGCAGCATAGATTTGATTGTTAAGGCGGTGATGTAAAATACAACTAGGATTCTGTTATATGAAGGCATCAAGGTTCCTGGTATTTCATGGCGGACTGGTCTACAAAGTGACACCCTGAGTACCTGGTTTCCAAAGTGTACTAAAACATACTCATATTCATAACAGAAATAGCCTCCTATTCACCTTCATCCACTCACCTCTCTCGTACACACTCCCAGTCTATCTCTCTCTCTCTCTCTCTATCTCTCACACATTCTACCTCTGCTCCTCTCACTCCAGTCCACCACACAGTAAGTGCTTTATTGTTAGGCAGAAGATGATCACTTCAATCAATATTTAACTGTTCAATTAACGTCCCTTTAGTTTAATATGTTAAACACACCCAGCAAACATCCCTGACTGCACTCTTGGACAATCTCTCTCGCCTAATGAATACATTACTCCCATCACTGAGTCTCAGTTTATTGGCTGGTAGATTTGTCAACTCTTTTCAATCTCCTTTGATTGGCAGGTTGTTAGTGGTGAGTGACCATCACACTGCGGTGGGCGGGCTCTCTCACAGATTGGTCCTATCCCCTTGCACCAGACGGCCCCTTACAGCCCAGGTATCCTATAACACACACAAAACAGACAGTTTTAGACACTGCACACTGTTATACACAGTTTATTAACATGTGTTTGATGTGTACTGTATCACTCCTGCAAAGATGTACCTCAAATGTGACGTCATCAACAGCATATTTCCTTGCTGCGATCTCTTTCACCTCCTGCCCTATGTTCTCCTGGGTGGTTCCCCTCACGTCAATGTAGTAGCAGTCAGCACTGGCATAGTGGCAGGAGATGGCCTACACACACGCACAAACACACACACACACACACACACACACTCTTCCATGATTTAGGGATCCTAGAATGGTTATGTATCTATGGCTTCCAGAGTGTTTTACAGGGGTGAGTGTGTTACCTTGCGGAAGCCCTGCGTCTGGTTCATTCCAGATCCGTGGATCAATAGAGGGTGGAAGAACACCGTGTCTCCTTTCTCCATCTCCAGGTGCAACCTGGGATGATTGGGGTCATAGTCACGGACACCGTGGTACATCTTATTGATCCCGCCCTGAGGAAGAGGAAAGGGAAATGATGTCACAAGATCTAGTGGGAGTAGTCGTGCTTGTTGAGGATGCAGGTGTGTATGTGTGTATCACCTCCCACTCTGGGTAGTCGTGTTCTTTGAGGGTGCCGTGGTGAGAACCAGGCAGGACCACCAGGCAGCCGTTCTGGCGGTGAACTTTCTCCATGGCGGTCCAGGAACACACGATGCGGTCCGCCGGACGGAATGGAAAATAGTGCAGGTCCTGGTGCATGGGGTGGCGAGACGTCTTATTACCTGAGAAACATAAACATACATTGGATTAAATAGGCAGGCTCTTTGTTTTCACTCTCAAGAAGGTGTGTCTATGTGTGTCTTTCTGGATAAGGGTCAGTGTTAGGGGTTGAGGGTCAGGGGTTAGAGGTTAGATAAGGGTCACACTATTCTGTACCTGTGTCTGGGGGCTTGTTGATCAGCATGGTGTGCATGGCCATGATGTTGGGACCAGTGAAACACTCCACATAATTCAGGATCTGAGAAAGACAAAGACAATTGAAATAATAAAAACTTGATGTGGAAAAAATAAAAAAAGGAAAGAAAGACAGACACACTGTGTGTGTGTGTGTGTGTGTGTGTGTGTGTGTGTGTGTGTGTGTGTGTGTGTGTGTGTGTGTGTGTATGCATCCGTGTCTGCCTGATCACTAGAAATAGACTTCGATTTTGGACGTTTGAAGAACATCGATATACAGTGCATTCGGAAAGTATTCAGACCCCTTGACTTTTTCCACATTTTGTTACGTTACAGCCTTATTCTAAAATGAATGAAATATGTATTTTTCTCATCTATCTACACACAATACCTCACAATGACAAAGTGAAATTTACATAAGCATTCAGACCCTTTGCTATGAGACTCGAAATTGAGCTCAGGTGCATCCTGTTTCCATTGATCATCCTTGAGATGTTTCTACATGTCACGATCGTTCATGAACGAGAAGGACCAAGGCACAGCGTGATATGTATTCATATTTATTTCACAAATAAACGCACAACCAAAACAATAAACGAAACGTGACGTCCAAGGTAGACAAATAACATACCTCACACGGAACAAGATCCCACAACTGACTGGTGCCAAAAGGCTGCCTAAGTATGGTCCCCAATCAGAGACAACGAACTACAGCTGCCTCTGATTGGGAACCACCCTGGCCAACATAGATCTAAACGATCTAGAAACTAACATAGACAAACACAACATCGAAACTACACACCCTGGCTCAACATTTAAGAGTCCCCAGAGCCAGGGCGTGACAGTACCCCCCCCCCCAAAGGTGCGGACTCTGACCGCGCAACCTAAACATAACAGGGTAGGGGCCGGGTGGGCATTCCGCCTCAGAGGCGGATCCGGCTCTGGGCGTGACCACCACCTATTATCCGCCTCCCTGTTGCGCCCCTGGTCTGGTCTGGAACCGCTGACTGGAGCTGGACCCGACGACGGTGGATCGAACTGCTCTGGCTCCGGAGTGGAGCCGCTGACCGGAGCTGGATCAGGCACCGGTGGAGCGGACTGCTCTGGCTCCGGAGTGGAGCCGCTGACCGGAGCTGGACTGGACCCCGGTGGAGTGGATTGCTCTGGCTCCGGAGTGTAGCAGCTGACAGGCACGGGCCGTGCCGGACTGGACACACGCACCACTGGCTTGGTGCGGGGAGTAGGAACGGGCCGGACCTGGCTGATGACGCGCACCCCTGGCTTGGTGCGGGGAGCAGGAACGGGCCGGACTGGGCTGACGACGCGCACCACTGGCTTGGTGCGGGGAGCAGGAACGGGCCGTACCAGACTGGCGACGCGCACCACTGGCCTGGTGCAGGGAGCAGGAACAGGCCGGACCTGGCTGATGACGCGCACCCCTGGCTTGGTGCGGGGAGCAGGAACGGGCCGGACTGGGCTGACGACGCGCACCACTGGCTTGGTGCGGGGGACAGGAACAGGCCGGCGACGCGCACTTGGTGCGAGGGGCAGGAACAGGCCGGGCCGGGCTGGAGACGCGCACCACTCGCTTGGTGCGAGGGGCAGGAACAGGCCGGGCCGGGCTGGCGACGCGCACCACTGGCTTGGTGCGAGGGGCAGGAACAGGCCAGGCCGGACTGGCGACGCGCACCACTGGCTTGATGCGAGGAGCAGGAACGGGCCGAACCGTACTGGCGACACGCACCACTTGATTGGTGCGAGGAGCGGGACTGGGTTCCTTCATTAACCCCCGCTCCTTCTGCTGCCTAACCAGCTCCTCTCGCCGTGCCTCTACACTTTCCTTCTGCTCCCTCTGAACCAACGACCCCCTTAATCTGGCGGCCTCCTCTGCTAAACGGCTGAACCGCTCTATCTCGGCCTCCTGCTGCCTCGTCGTCCACGGCGTGAGCCCCCCCTAAAAATTTTTTGGGCTTGTCTCTCCCCCGGGATCATGGCCTCCATCCCTCTTGCCAGACTCTCGCTCATCTCCTCCCAAGTCCATCCTCTCTCCTCGTCACGCTGCTTGATCCAGGATTGGTGGGATCTTCTGTCACGATCGTTCATGAACGAGAAGGACCAAGGCGCAGCGTGATATGTATTCATATTTATTTCACGAATAAACGCACAACCAAAACAACAAACGAAACGTGACGTCCAAGGTAGACAAATAACATACCTCACACGGAACAAGATCCCACAACTGACTGGTGCCAAAAGGCTGCCTAAGTATGGTCCCCAATCAGAGACAACGAGCTACAGCTGCCTCTGATTGGGAACCACCCTGGCCAACATAGATCTAAACGATCTAGAAACTAACATAGACAAACACAACATCGAAACTACACACCCTGGCTCAACATTTAAGAGTTCCCAGAGCCAGGGCGTGACACTACAACTTGATTGGAGTCCACCTGTGGTAAATTCAATTGATTGGACATGATTTAGAAAGGCACACACCTGTCTATATAAGGTCCCACAGTTGACAGTGCATGTCAGAGCAAAAACCAAGCCATATGGTCCAAGGAATTGTCCATAGAGCGCCGAGACAGGATTGTGTCGAGGCACAGATCTGGGGAAGGGTACCAAATAATTTCTGCAACATTGAAGGTCCCCAAGAACACAGTGGCCTCCATCATTTTTAAATGGAAGAAGTTTGGAACCACCAAGACTCTTCCTAGAGCTGGCTGCCAAGCCAAACTGAGCAATCAGGGGAGAAGGGCCTTGGTCAGGGAGGTGACCAAGAACCCGATGGTCACTTTGACAGAGCTCTAGAGTTCCTCTGTGGAGATGGTACAACCTTCCAGAAGGACATCCATCTCTGCAGCACTCTACCAATCAGGCCTTTATGGTAGAGTGGTCAGACGGAAGCTACTCCTCAGTACAAGGCACATGACAGCCCGCTTGGAGTTTGTCAAAAGGCACCTAAAGGACTCTCAGACCATGAGAAACAAGATTCTCTGGTCTGATGAAACCAAGATTGAACTCTTTGGCCTGAATGCCAAGCGTCATGTCTGGAGGAAACCTGGCACCATCCCTAAGGTGAAGCATGGTGGTGGCAGCATCTTGCAATTGGGATGTTTTTCAGCGGCAGGGACTGGGAGACTAGTCTGGATCGAGGGAAAGATGAACGGAGCAAAGTACAGAGAGATCCTTGATGAAAACCTGCTCCAGAGCGCTCAGGACCTCACACCGGGGCGAAGGTTCACCTTCCAACAGGACAACCACCCTAAGCACACAGCCAAGACAATGCAGTAGTGGCTTCGGGAGAAGTCTCTGAATGTCCTTAAGTGGCCCAGCCAGAGCCCGGACTGGAACCCGATCAAACATCTCTGGAAAGACCTGAAAATAGCTGTGCAGCAACGCTCCCCATCCAACCTGACTAAGCTTGAGAGGATCTGTTGAAAAGATTGGGAGAAAGTCCCCAAATACAGATGTGCCAAACTTGTAGCATCATACCCAAGAAGACTCAAGGCTGTAATCGCTGACAAAGGTGCTTCAACAAAGTACTGAGTAAAGGGTCTGAATACTTATGTAAATGTAACATTTCAGTTTTTTTTTGTTTTTTTTTTGCAAACATTTCTAAAAACCTGTTTTTGCTTTGTCATTATGGGGTATTGTGTGTAGATTGATGAGGGAAAAAAATGATTTAATCCATTTTAGAATTAGGCTATAATATAACAAAATGTGGGAATACTTTCCGAATGCACTGTATATGTCTTCCTCAGCGCTCACCAAAAAAATGAACAACGATTGCCCGCACGTGGGTCCATGTGTGTGTGTCCATGCAGTGTGTGTACCTGAGGCAGGCTACAGTAGCGGAATAGCTCAGGGTCTTCCTGGAAGTCCTGCAGCTTGGAGATGGCCTTCTGGTCAGGGACGAACTCTGACTTGGCGATGGACACGTCCCTCATCACCACCAGCCCCGGGACCTGTACCTCCCGACGGCATATCCGCTCAAACGCCGCCCTGCCACACACACGGGCACAGACACACACACATACGCAGACACACAAACTCAGTCCTTAGAGGAACAGCAGTTTTGTTCAGTGTAGCATCACTAATTAAGCCTAGCTGGTAAAGCCATGTTTCTCTGGTACAGAGGAGCAGTGTTCTACTGGTGAACCATGCTACATGTGGGGTCAAAGACGGGACATATTGAAGCGCTGCTGGAGAAAGTAAAGTCAGGTGATGTTCAGCCATTTTTCTCTTATGTGGTCTTTTAGTACTTTTAGTACATTCTATGTTAGCTGCCTGTTTTTTGTTTATCTAGTGTTTTCCTTTCAGTCTCATCTGAGACCTTTCTGTTGTCTCTCTCATGGTGTTGTGGTCTTACCTGAATCTGTCAATGTCCTCCCCAGACACCAGGCCCTTGATAAGGAGGAAGCCATCCTCCTCATAGGAGATTCTCTGCTCAGTGCTCAGCAGATCATTGTCAAAGGAATACCTGGATACAGCAAGTGAATGACAGTGTGATAAACGCTTATTAGACTCTATGCCTGTGTTACAGTGTTTAGATACAGTGTGATGGTAACTCAAAGTTGAATGTACTACTGAGATGATTTCAGCATTGTGTAATGTGTGCAGTAAGTAGGGCAAGGGTCAGTACCTATACCTTTAGACTGTCATAATATAAGGCCATTGACAGAGTCAAAAACAGCCCAAATATGAGATTGAGGTGTCACTTACCTCAGCGCTTGTGGTTGATAGTAGGCAACGTTTTGGCCAGAGGTAGAAGATGGTTGCTTTATGCAATGAGTTAAGACCATATTTTATTTGTAGCTATTACACATTTATGTAAACTATGTTATATCGTTAATTATTGTCAACAAATTAAATTGTGAATAGCTATAGCCTAATAGTTAGACTATACAAGCGCGCTTTTTACGCATACATAGCCAATAAGATATTGTAGTCTTATATGGATAAATAAACACATTTAGCCTACAGAAAATAAATACATTTTGCAATGTTATAGTTCCACTCCCAATGTTCAGTTCGCTCTGAAAAGGCCTGACAATTTACTCATGCCCCGGTCTGTCCTGCGAAACTGTACCGACGCACAGTCCCTGAAAGTCGGTCAGAAATTCCAGCACGGCTCAGCCATGGAGAAACACACGACATTTTCAGTAAAACAGTTGAAAAGGATACAACAAAAGAAGATGGTCGATCTAGATGATTCAAGACCACTTTCAGTCTGTCTGCCGCTCGAAACATTTTGCAAGAATATATGTTTTATTCTGTATTCCTTTATTCTGTATGCCGATGCGTCTTCAATCTACACAGTGACAGACAGTCATATGGCCACTGTTATGTAGGCCTATGCTGCTGGTGTAGACTACTCTCCAACTAGGTCAAAGTCCACAAGTGAGAAGGACATTGACACACACGCGCGCGCGCGCATACACATACACACACTCGTTTGTTTTACTATGCTTGTGGGGTACAAACAATTGAGTCCCATTCAAAATCCTATTTTCCCTTACACCTAACCGTTATCCTAACCTTAACCTTAATCCTAACCCTTACCTTAACACTAAAACCCCCTAAACCTAACCCTAAACCTATAACCCTAATGCTAACCCTAATTGTAACCCTAACCCTACACCCCAAGCCTACAATATACGTTTTTCCTTGTGGCGACCGGCAAAATATCCCCACAATTTTCCTTGATTTACTATCCTTGTGAGGACTTTTGTTCCCCACAAGGATAGTAAAACCAAACACACACACACACACACACTTGACAACTCCGTTGTGTCCTCCTCCCAGAGTGCGAAGAGCCTTGGCGTGACCCTGGACAACACCCTGTCGTTCTCCGCTAACATCAAGGCGGTGACCGGATCCTGTAGGTTCATGCTCTACAACATTCGGAGAGTACGACCCTGCCTTACACAGGAAGCGGCACAGGTCCTAATCCAGGCACTTGTCATCTCCCGTCTGGATTACTGCAACTCGCTGTTGGCTGGGCTCCCTGCCTGTGCCATTAAACCCCTACAACTCATCCAGAATGCCGCACCGCTCCTCCGCACACTCCACTGGCTTCCAGTTGAAGCTCGCATCTGTTACAAGACCATGGTGCTTGCCTATGGAGCTGTGAGGGGAACGGCACCTCCGTACCTTCAGGCTCTGATCAGTCCCTACACCCAAACGAGGGTATTGCGTTCATCCACCTCTGGCCTGCTGGCTCCCCTTCCTCTGCGGAAGCATAGTTCCCGCTCAGCCCAGTCAAAACTGTTCGCTGCTCTGGCACCCCAATGGTGGAACAAGCTCCCTCACGACGCCAGGACAGCGGAGTCACTCACCACCTTCCGGAGACATTTGAAACCCCACCACTTTAAGGAATACCTGGGATAGGATAAAGTAATCCTTCTACCCCCCCCCCCCCCCCCCCCCCCCAAAAAAAAAATAATAATAATTAAATAATAATAAATAAATAAAATTGTAAAGTGGTTATCCCACTGGCTATAAGGTGAATGCACCAATTTGTAAGTCGCTCTGGATAAGAGCGTCTGCTAAATGACGTAAATGTAAATGTAAATGTAATTGAATGGAAGCTTTCCACTATTTCAGCCTGGCCTCAGAGCTAATTTCAGTCATGGTCAACAACAACAACAACAACAACAAACAAGCAAACAAATAATTGGACACTAAACACTAAATACCACTCCCCAATCCCGTCCGATGACAACCATCCGCGTGAGAGAAGAAAAGAAAACAGAGCATCTTTGTGACAAACTTACAAAACATGCAACAGATATAGCCTTGAATGAACTAGTAGGAGACAGAGATCAACAGACGCAGACTCAAGTGAGAATTAATTCCCTTAGCCTAAGTTGATCGATCCATGCATGCTTCCAAAATCAAAGGGCCCAATCCAATTCCAAGAGAGTTCATAAATTAATAGCAGGTGTGGAAAAAGTACACAATTGTCATACTTTAGTAAAAGTAAAGATATCTTAATAGAAAATGACTCAAGTAAAAGTGAAAGTCATCCAGTAAAATAATACTTGCGTAAAAGTCTAAAAGTATTTTGTTTTAAATATATTTAAGTATCAAAAGTAAAAGTATAAATAATTTCAAATTCCTTATATTAAGCAAACCAGACGGCACCATTTTCTTGTATTTTTAATTTATGGATAGCCAGGGACACACCAACACTCAGATATAATTTACAAACGAAGCATGTGTGTTTAATGAGTCCTCCAGATCAGAGGCAGTAGGGATGACCAGGGATGTTCTCTTGATAAGTGCGTGAATTGGACAATTTTTCTGTCCTGCTCAGCATTCAAAATGTAACGAATATTTTTGGGTGTCAGGGAAAATGTATGGAGTAAAACTACATTACTTTCTTTAGGAATGTAGTGAAGTAAAAGTAAAAGTTGTCCAAAATAAAAATAGTAAAGTATAGACACCCCAAAAAACGACTTAGGTAGTACTTTAAAGTATTTTTTATTTAGGTACTTTGCACCACTGATGAATAGGCCTAGTTGTCAGGGTATGTAGGCTATGATTTATCTGTGTAGTAGGCTTACTGCAGGAGGCGCTACAAAACTACTCATTGCATGAAGGGCCATATTGGTGCTGCTGGTAGGCGGCCACCAATCGCATTCAGTTCATTTCCCCCATCTCTCTCTCTCTCTCTCCATGTCAGCAGCAGCATAGGCGGAGGCGTCAGAATGCGGGCAGCCACAGCTTGCAACCCTACGGGTTCATCCACCGACACAATCCGTTCTCACTCCCCATAAGCTCCCTGCTCGTCATAGAAGTGAGCTTTCAGAATCTGGTCTGTCATTTTTATCATTTGAACTTTGAAAACGGTGTTCATGTGAGAACATTCTATACGGAATAAGGTGCGCAAGCGGAAAGCAAGACGTAGACGAACTGTTTTTACGGGTGGGTGGAAAGACTGGCATCCGGCCTCCGAGGAAGCGCCTATCGAGGTCTGGAAGTCAGGTCGAAACAACGTACATCGTTTCTGGTAAGTAGCCAAATGTTGTGGCTTCATTTAGGTTTACAATCACACTATCCATCAGAATGGCTACTGCTATGCCGCTTTGAAAGGAGTAGAAACAATGTTGCCAGCGCGCAATGTTGCGTCGCCACAAGCGTCTAGTTGAGCTGACCAACTATTTTGCTCGCTTGTCAAAATAGGACTAGCTACAGGACATCTACTATTATGAGTTTTATAAACACAATTATATTTGTGGTTTAAATACCGTAGTGAATGTTTACAATGGGCAATACCATTTCTGTTTATTTGCCTTCAGCCTATAGGCTACGCACCATTTGATTTTTAACACCATTTTGTCAACACCTTTTAGGCTATACACTCAGAAAAAGCTGAAGCATGTACATACAGTAGGTTATATTGAAAGTGTTGAGTACAGTATACATGGTGTAAATAGTCAATGCCATGACCCGTGCCAGTTGGATGCATGTCAGCACATTTTATACACAAAGAATCCCTTCAGCATTACACTGGCTTCGTTCGTTTTTTCCCCATTTTATGATGTTTTGCTGTAGCCTATCTGAAAAAATAGTCCTAAAGGTCCATAACAGGTGCCCAACAGTGTCGCACATTGTAAGTTTATGTGTCAAATGTGCATATATGAAACTGATTGGCTACTGTGTACAATGTTATCGATGAATGTAAGGTTGTTAAGCCTATAAGTTACAATTCACAGCATATAGATGTCTGAACCAGGGTTACTGTAAGTGTGTAATGGTGATGATGAGGAATTGGTTCCTTGGACCACAGTAATTCCTGGCACACTCTAATATCAGTGTAGCAGCCCTTGGCTGTGACTGCCTCTCAGGGAAACAATATCATGGTATAATTGGTGGAAATGGATCAGTTCAGTCAGATTTCCCTCTGAAAACGATGCCATAAAGAAACCAGGCAAGCAGACTGGCATAGGATACATCCCCACATTAATGTCATACCTTGTGAGTGTAGTTGGAAGAGGCCAACATATCAGAGACGAATTGAGGAACACATTCTATCCAATTGTCCCTCTTTCCTATCCTATTGGCAGTCCCAAACTTTGACAGGTGTGTGTGTGGTTGTGATGACACTCGTCCTCCTTTACTCGTCTCATTGGAGCTGTGTTGTTTGAACTCTGACCCCTGTGATGTTTTTCAAGTGGTGGTATAGCCTACATGTCTGTCTGGAACAGCCCTTTACTGTGCTTCTGGAGCCAATATGGCCCTGGGCTGAAACATGCACCCTCCCCTCCATCTATCCCCCCAGTACTGCATATATCCAGCGGGTGTTTTTCATCAACTAGAGGTGTTTGTGTCAAATCTTGGTTGGTGTCAGCTAGTTCCTGGCCAGTGGTGTGTGTGTACATGCACTCAGGTTAGATCTAGCAGTTCCCTGCAGCTACATTGACCCAGATCAGGAGTATCTTTCCAGGTTGTTCTATCTGTGTGAAACCAATCCCTCAGGACAGGCTAATTATACTGACCCAAACCTTCATTTTTCTGTCACAACTCTCTCTATAATCTCTCTATAGTGCTACAGTGTAACCCTGCTGATTTAAACCATGCCACGATAGCTTTGATATTGATCAGTCTCGGTGCTGGGAGGTTAAGTGCATGGAAGGAAAACAGAGACAGAATCAGATTATATACGGTAGTGATGGTGTACTGGTGCTCCATGAATTTCTTCTGTGTCATGACTCATGAAAGGGCTCACACTCATCCTCTCAGGTCCGATTGGATATGATCATGTCTATTATTCATGGCAGTTGCACAGAATACAGTG